AATGCTCTAAAAGAAGCCATGGAAAAATCAATTCATAGGTTTCTTGAGGAACCTGAAGAAATAATATCGAATCCGAAGACACTGAAGGCCGAATTTTCAGTATTTGAGGCAACCAATAAAATAACAAAGAATTTAGATTTACTAGAGCAAAACGCTCCTTTCGGAGCTCCTTTCTTCTATCAAGGTCATTCGGCAAAATTGTAACGAAGACGGGTCACAAAAATGTGTAAGATCAATATCAACAAATCGACAACAATGGTTACCTAGGAAACGTCATCTGTTTACTCAGCATACAATGAAAGCAAGGGGGTTAAAACACTTTTAAAATCTTGAGTAATAAACCGGTTTAACCGGTTTTTTTGGAAATACTGGAATTCGAAAACAGGTTTTTTCAAAAGTCGATTTTTGTATAAACCCTAATACCAGCCCATGTACCTGTTGGATAAATTATCTACTTCAAAAAGTTGTAGATGTCACTTTCAGATCTGCTGGAAAAAGAAAATCAACCTGTAATGATGCTCATGATTAACGTCAAAATATGAAACTATTTGTCACGCGTCATGTAGTGTTAATATACTTATTATAAACGAAACCAGTGACTGTTGTGTTCATTAATTGTGGAAACGTTCGTAATGAAATATTTGATTTGTAACTGCTTTATGTTAAACCTAAATAAATGTTCACGGATTACTTGACGACTTTATCACTAGCAGACTCTGTGTATTGTAGGATGATGCGTGATTAATGAGTACGAACTAGGAAGGAAAATGAATGCAGATGGTAGCCGCTAAATTTAATCTGCATTTCGGAATATTTTCCTTCGGTAACTGAATAAAACCACGAAGAATTTCTGTAGGTAAATGTTTCTGGCCTGAGTTTTGAAACCATGTCCTACGGAGTACGAAGGTGTTTTGGCAAAGCATTCAGAATTTAGCATTTGTGTGTATTCAGGTATGGATAACAGCTCTCCATTCCAGTTCCCTTACCAGATATTGCACCAACTAAACCCATATCATCAACACATCCCGTTCTTTAATGGAACACGGCAGGCGTTCACTGTTTTTACACAAGATCGCTAATGGGCGCCATAATGATTAATTTCGCACCCGTCACGTGCAAAAGATACGCCTTAGTGTTATATTTCCGTCCATATCTTGTATTTGTTTTTTGCAAGAGATCTCCCTCCTAGAGATTTCCTTATAAAAAATGTTGTGTGAATTTCTTATCTCCTTAAGCGTTTCGCATTCGTCTCATTCAGATATGATGTTACTTCTAACTCAGTTTTCACCATTTTCCTGCAAGACTGAATATCCTCAGCCGAAAAATTTTCTTATAAATATTTTCTTAAACATCCTCACTATATCTGACTGTGCTATTTTGTTGTTGGCAAGAAGTCGGAGAAAATAAGTTAGAACCGTTTTTCACTTTTAAATATTAGGACTTACCTAAAAGATACAGAGTGTCATAAACCAAAAGTTCTTGGAAGCCCCAATATCGTATCTTTAATTCATCTTCTTCCGCTCTGCGAGATGGACGAAGTTTAACCCATATAAAATAACGGTTATTGAACGTAGGATCTCAGGTTCTGGCAGCGGTGAGGACGAAGATGGCTGTGTTCTGGGTTGTTGCGTCATGTCCCCTGGTAGAAATTGACCTGCATTTCAGAGGTACTTACTGCCTTCATGATCCTAATTATGGATGCAGGAAGTACCTCTGAAACATCGGTAAACTTGTACCAGACTAC